GAACGGATGGGGTGACAGGGGAGAGCATCTCTGGCTGGGGGATCGGAACGGATGGGGTGACAGGGGAGAGCATCTCTGGCTGGGGGGACGGAACGGATGGGGTGATGGGGGAGAACATCTCTGGCTGGGGGACGGAACGGATGGGGTGACAGGGGAGAGCATCTCTGGCTGGGGGATGGAACGGATGGGGTGACAGGGGAGAGCATCTCTGGCTGGGGGGACAGAACGGATGGGGTGACAGGGGAGAGCATCTCTGGCTGGGGGACGGAACGGATGGGGTGACAGGGGAGAGCATCTCTGGCTGGGGGATGGAACGGATGGGGTGACAGGGGAGAGCATCTCTGGCTGGGGGATGGAACGGATGGCTCGCACAAGCATGCAAAGTTCTGAGCGTCGGCTCTATTTAAAACATGAAATCAGTGCATCGTAATGACAGGTCAGAGGTGCCGCACGGCACAGCGTGTGTTAAATGGACTGAGACACATTTGAAACCTGGGGTCAGGGAACTCGCCTGCACAGATTGCACAATGAACGGCAAGCCGCGTCCTCCTGATCGATGGACTAATCCGGTGCCCATAGAAGTGAGGGGCTAAGTGCAAACCGGGGTAAACCAGGCTTTGTGCAGGGCAGTGCTGGGCCAACTTCTTTCACAGAGCTCTGCCAGTGCGCCTCAGTGCTGACCTGCTGTTCCAGTCGCTGGTCCCCACCCAGCTCTGCCTCTCAGCCTCCACTGCACTGGAATTCACAGCTCTTCTGACACGCCTTGCTCCTTAATCTCTCAGCCCCCTGTATTATACAGGCTGCAGCTCCCTGGCTGTACAGGCTACTCGTGTATCTCAACCGGTTAACACGTAGTCCTGGAAGGCTGTGCGTTCATGAGGGGCCTGGGAGCCCTTCAAACAACCAGCCAGTTGTGCCAGATGACGTCCATGGTGGTGGTTCTGTGGTGACATTGCCCAGCCCAGGTGCATGGAGGTGAAAGGCGGATGCACTAGCCCTGGTGCTACCTAGCTCCCCAAACACTTAACAAACAAACCCGTTTAGGTTCACCCGTGGGACAGCAACATTAGCTTCAGTAGAGCTCCACCCGCCTTGAATTTAGCCCTCAGTCCTTTAATCCCCAGATGCTTTTCCCCAATGTGCATCCCTCCCTTCCCTGCTGCTATCTTCAAAGAGCCCAAGGTGGCTGCGCGTGAGGAAATCAGCCTCGTGAGCAGGAAACACTGGAACAGACCCTGACTTGTTCCTTCGAGGTCTGGGAAGCTGTTCTCCCTTTTCCAGCGTTGTTTGCATAGATGCATTCTAAAGTGGAGAGAGAAATCATCAGTGTGTGTGTGTGTGTGTGTGTGTGTGTGTGTGTGTGTGTGTGTGTGAGAGAGAGAGAGAGAGAGAAAAATCTACCTGTGGGTGTGGGAGCATGGATCAGATATGTGGATGTGCTACTCCTGGGGGAATTCTGCACCACTGCGCATGTGCAGAATTAATGTCCCCTGCAGATTTCTTTGCTTTCCTGCAGCAAAATGACTTTCTGAGGGGGAGGCAAAGGGATGCTACAAGAGCGGTCATGTGACCCTCCCCAGCAGTGTGTTTTGGGTGCCCAGGGCAGCCGGCAGAGAGGTAAATCACTGTGGGGCTGGGGGCGGGGCTGGGGAAGACCTGGCTGGTGGCTCCTACCCTGCTCC